GCTGCACACATGCCGTGAGGAGAGTGTCGTGTCTGTCTTGGAAAAGAAAGAACCTGGGGGCTGAGAGCCCGCCAGGAGCCAGCCTGCCTGAACTCATGCCCGCTCTGCCCCCGCCTGGCTGGGAGCGTGGGGAAGGCGCCTGCCTCTGTGCCTGCGCTCCCCGCAGCCGGGGTAACACAGCACCCACCCCAGGACCGAGGCGAGGCCGGATGCCGAGCATACTGCCGACGGCAGGGTCAGACACTCGGTAAATATTTGTTAGCATTGGAAACTGGCACACGTGATAGGGCATCCACAGAGATAAGCGGGCAGGGTCGCCACCTAACGCCCTGGGAGGGGGCTGGGGGGTGGGTCAGGGAAGGTGAAGCCCGAGATGGGAGGCTCAACCTGGGCGTGGAAAGGGCGCCCAGGAGGGAGCCCAGCAAGGCGAAGGCCTGGAGGGCACACACAGCTTTGGGCGGGCACTGTGCAGTCTGCATCCTGTGTGGGCTCAGGGCTGTGCCACCGGAGAGGAACGGCGGTGCAAACCAGCTACAGTGGGCACTGCTCCGGAGGGGCAGCCCCGCCCAGGGGCGCGGGCACACACTGTTCCCAGCACAGCGTCTCAGAATCCACAGCTGGTCCTCTCCGCCCGGGCTGCGCTCCCGGTCTCCCCGCACCTGCTTGCCGACCATTTGCTGGTTGATAGGCTCCCTTCCCAATACTGGCTCCTAATACTGGCCACCTCCAGCCGCAGACACAGCGGCTCTTTCCGAGCCTTTCCTGGGACAGGCCAGGCGTGCAGACAGACATCACAGGCCTCCAGGGCACCAGGAGATAGAGAATCCTGGCAGGAAGCAGTAAAACCACGCCGAGCCGGGGGCGGGGGTCAGGGGTCAGGGCAGGCTTCCCAGGGCGGAAGCTAGCTGGCCAATCCCTGGTGTTGCAGCGGCGGTAGGATAACAACAGACTAATGATGGTGATGATGACCATCTATGCCAGGTCTCTCTCCAGTGAAAGGAACAGGGTCCTGAGAGCAGTGCTGGTTCCAGGCCCCGGCACCTCGTAGGGCAGACAGTAAGGAGCATAAACAGTGAATAGACACATGAACACTGGACGGGGCATGGCAAAGGGCGGGGAGAGTTTCCGTGGGCACAGAGGGTCTGTAATGAAACTGACAAGTCCAGCGATGCAGTCACCTCAGGGTGGTCTGACCATACATGCCTACCTGGGCAGGTCCTGGCGGTGGTCACGCCCCGACACATGGCTTCTTTAGTGGAAGGTTTGCTTTGCCTGAAGCAAGCCCTGCCCACTGCTCCCGTGCACCCAGTGAGCACACCTGTGACAGACCCTCAGAGGAGCCACATCGTCTCGTTAACCATCCTGCCTTCCTCCCGCCCCCTCCATGCCATCGTCCTCATGTTCCCGCCTTCATTCCAAATGCATCAGAGAAGCTGCCAGCTGCCCCTGTGCAGAGCATCTGAGCTCCTCCCAGCATTGCAGGCAGTTTGACTCCAACAAACAAAAATTCTCTTGGGGTTTGGACGTTCTTACATGGACACGCCCAGTGACCAAAGATGGACGAACCTGAGCGGAGGATGAATAACTTGGCCCAAATGCACACGAGCCCCACTGGGGGAATACGCCACCCACCCGCACACCAAGAACCGGCCAACCTGCCTCCGGGAGCACAGGTCCCCCCCAACCCCCCCCCCCCCCCCCCGCCCCCAGGGGGGGTGGGCTCTTGCCTCCCCCCCCCGAAGGGGGGGCAATGGGGGAAACTTGATTGGTAGAGACCCCCCGCGGGAGAATGGCCAAAGGGGCTCCGCCCTGGGGTTTTTTTTTAAAAAAGGCTTATTTAAAAAATGCAAGGGGGGCGGGTGAACGCCTGGTCTTCCGGGCTAAACCCTCCACCACGGACGCCTTAGAAACCCCCCCCACC